ACGCGATGAGGGGGAAAAATACGATTCTTATTGACCTTCTGTCCTAGTGGCTTTAGGAATATGAACTAAATTAACATTTTGACTGCCGCGGTGATCCAAGCTATTTTACTAAATTTTTTAGAATAGTTAAAATAAGGTGGACCGAACATCTTTCAGCGAATGTTATAGCGTGGTATATTTGAAGTTTCGTTTCAATTTTAGCTTTTTGTGCTCGATAATATCGTAAGCGATTCTCGCGAAGGGTTGCACAACGATATGGTCACAAACGTCTTAAACGAACATTTATCCGGCGTTTGCGTTTCTCGAACGACCGTTCTTTTATCCAGATGTTGGAATTATAGCGTAATGGCGTAACCGATTCATTTGCACAGTTCTCAGATATCTTCAACGATCGTTCGAGAAGTGCTTATTGTATACGGAAAACGCGCGTAAAATTTTTCTCATACACCGAACAATTGCAGCGAAACGAGTTTAAGAATTTTCAGTGAAATTGTCGCTCTACGGAAATCTTTTGTCAACCGCTGGCTGCTTATTGGAAATGAAGCCGAGAAAGATTTATCAAAAGGTTGCAGGCTAGGTTTAAAACGTGGGTTAGATTATACTTTCAGCGATTATAATTTCGATATTAAGATCCTTATAGAAAGAATATGAACGTAATTATTTGTCATACCATTAATTCTAGCATTTGAATGTAATTTTTTCATTATCATTTAAGTTATTAACTTTCTTGTAATTTTGAAATAATATTTTCATAACGCGAGGAAATGTATACTACTTTAAACGTTAATCTTAAAAGGCAAACGCTTTAAGGATTTTCTCCAACTTTCGATAGCAATCGTCTGGCACAAATCCAAAGTTAAACGAACGTTTGATTAGAACTTTGAAAAAGTTCCCGCGAACTTCAGTTTTCCTGATTTGTTTCTGTTCACGTATCTTTTTAATCCTGCTAATAAGGCTGATAAAACTTGAAAATTTCAGAACAGTGTTCCCAAAATTCATGCGTTGATCTTCGATTAACATCGTTATCGGTCCCTCCACCTTCTACGTAGGGTATTCATTTATTTCTTGAAATGACCATTTAACGGACTACAATAGAAATTTTGCCAACGTTTCACTCCGGTATTCAGAAATTATTCGATAGAAGAATAAACAGTATGAATGTAAGAATACAGTAAAAGTTGCGCGATTAAACGGTTATTTGAACTTACACTAGCAACGAAAATATACAAGTCCACGTCTAAATCTTGAATTTAATAGGAAATAGTTAACTAAAAATGTGACGATCTATTTCTAACTTTTTACTACAGAAGAAATCAAACTATCGCTCCACTATTCAAAGATAATAAATTTTGTTCCTTAAATATTTTAACAATTTTTATCAATGTCCATCGGGGAAAAAAAATTATGGCGCTCGCGTCGGAGCAAATATTAGCATATTCCGGCTGCCTCCCCTTTTATTTGATTCAATCCTCAAAGAAGATACTAAAAATATCGCTGTTTTAAGTGTTTGCCCAAGAGGTGTACCGAAGGTTGACTTCAAAGGAAGTGAAACATTTACAAAGAGGTCTCCATTGTTCGCCAATGTCAACAATTCTTTTTACGCAAAGCGAAACGACGTCTGTCGACCAAAACTCATGACGGTTCGATGTTTTCTACGTTTCAACAGACATTGAATAGCCTTGTATATACTACTTTTAATTTAACATTAAATCTACGGAACCATTCGAATCGACTACTATCATATTTTTCGTCTTTTCAGTCATTAAAATGAATTTTTTATAATATTAATTTTTACTTTTATCGAGACAGAAACACGACGTACGTATATTACTGGTACTTATTTATTTCTGTCCTATTGCTTTAATCCTAATCAACGACGAATAATATATTTGGCTAAATATTAAATGTTAGCTAGTTCTACCGTCAGACAATCTTCGTCTTCTCTTGTTTTTTCCCTACTGTCCGTTATGTTTAATACTTCAACCGTATCGAAGAAAAAATTCCGAGATGACACGGTATTCGTATAAAGAAGCGCGTAGAATCGATCGCATTCGGTACAGCAATTTTGGATTACAGTATTCGCTTGTAATGGCTGAGAACGTACATTTCCCCTGTGCTGGGATCGCCTTCGAAATATCGCGCGGATGGATACGAGCTTTTCTACCCTGGTGCTGGCTTTAAGTGGATTTAGCCGTGCGAGATCGCTCCACATTCGGAACCAATCGATGGTGCAATTTTAATGAAGCCCCGTCATTTGCTTAATTCATATTTACGGACGCGCTATTTGCCAGGATTAAAGTCCTGTTTCGTTTGTCCGAAACATCTTTTTATCATATACGCGTGTCACGTTGCATTCATTAGCCCAGAACGGTGAATAATGCGTGATTTAATGTCGTTCGACGGAACACCGCGATTAAAGTCTCGCGGGAAAAGTTTAATAAATATCGACGTCGTTAATGAAGCGGATAACAATGTTATAGAAACTCCGGCGAAATAGGAACAAAACAGACGCGTTTAAAGTAACATTTTAAATGGCGATGATGCCATTATATGTTCCGTTGAGTAATGAGTAACGATCCAGCTTTTGGATACAGTCAAATAAATTCACGACATAAGTTTAAATCAGTTCCAAAAGAACGAACGATTTATTTCCATAATCTATCGTAAGAAGATGCCACGAATGACTGTACACGTTAAAGTTAAATTTATGTAGGAATGTTATATTATAAGTTAACAGGACAAACAGTATGATAAACACAATATCGTTGCACTCTCACAAAATCGAATATAACATCGCGTTTCGCGTATTCGTTTCTCATTGATTCTACGTCACAACAACACTCTCGACCACGATAAATTCCACTCTGACAGCACTTTCCACGCTCATTTTCCCCTTAACAAACCTTGGTAACGCTCCTTAACAACATTAACATATCTTGACAATGTTTATAAACAATTACTCCTCACGCCACGCCCTTCCCTGACGTCACACCATCCCATATTTATAAGGCAGCGAATCAGATGTCTTCGGATACTTAGTGCGTACCCTCAATAGTCTCAAGTACCCTTCATAAATCTCAGGAATTTCCTAGTCGAGGTCCTTCAAACCGAACAAACATCTGTTTTCCGAATCATTTCTAAAGACCATTGTCTACTACGGAGTTTTTCTCACGTACGATGTAACTTTCCTCCTACCAACTACTTTCTCTCGAGGGCGGCCAAGACCCTTCCTAGTCCACCAACCTTCGTTTAACCAATTAACAACGAAGCCTATTTCCCTCACTCTCTTAGCCAAAATCGTCACCAACAAATCCGATGGTCCCGTGCGCTAGACACACCCATCCTTAGCTTTCCTCCGCCACAGCATCGTCACCGAACTGCACTGATTTCCCATCCTTCGTACAGTCAACATCCTTTGACCGGGAATACACCCGTAGATCAGTCACTCACTCATCTTACACATACGCACCAGCGTAACTATCTTCTTTACAAGTTGTTAGAATAAACGGTGATTTATAATTTACTATACAGTGTTACATTCATCGAACCACCTCTGTTATCTTAATCGAAACAGGGGAACGACTATTTTGCGGCGTCGATTAACCGAATCGTAGCGAGAATTTACGCCTCTCGCTGACGCGTTTTCCTAGCGACCTCGTCTCTCCGCGAACGGTCGTAACACATAATATTCTAAAAAGAAACGACATGTTTCGAAGTAACTTCGTATCGCCCCTCCCGTAATCGCTGGAATTGTGCATGTTCTCTCTTTTTGCAAAACTGGTTTCGGTGGATCCCGAGTGTACCTCCGATGGTTTGGCTAAGAGGCAAACTTAAAATTCCACGCGTTCACCGGTCGAATCAATTTGACAAATCGGTCGTGCCGTTCGTTTCCTGTTCTACGAAGAATTTCAGCCGGTTTCCGATATTTTACAGTTAAAAGTCTGCTTGTTGGAAATTCAGTATACGCCGTCTTTCGCACGGCTGCTTCTGTATATGCGCAGATCGGTCGTGCGTGCACGCGCACAGGCCTCTGTTCAAGAGTTCATTTGCTTTCGCTAGAACGGACACCGGAGGATTGGTCCTCCCTGTGTGTACCGACGCACCTGTGCACGACTGTACAGACTGTTTCTAAATTGGATGATCAAAGTGCCATGGTACGTCACGTGGCTACCAATACGAAAAGACGTGGTGATTATCGGTCCCAAATTCCCATGCATCCTGATAAGGAAAAACTGTGATTTATGCACTTCTAGATTATGTTGATGATAAAATGGCATTACGAAGTCGAATATTCAATAAAACCTTAAGCGAACAATTTTCAAAATGTGCCGCGTCACGTTATTCTTTAATGCCCTATTTATAGGAAATCTGTTTAGACTTGTAGGTTATTAATATTTAAATTATTTAACGAGGAAAGAAATGTATCTTGTATTCGTCATACTTGTTTGATGTTCTATTCATGGTTTATTTAACCGTGTTTTTGGTTTACTTTAAACTCAATCATATTTCCCTTATTTTGAATGCACTTCTAGAAGTTTGAGGAAAGTATTAAAGAAATTTCCTTAATGCGCATTGTTTCCCGTCTTAACTGCGTGCTAAAGTTTTTCTTAAGATATCCAAAATATATTTACTTCTCGAAACAAGTTTAGAATAAGTTATTAAAACAGTCAGATCGGCGTATAGATATTCGAGGACTGTAGCAAGGCTAAGTAAGACTCGTATCTCTATGGGATCGATGTCATATGTGTACATAATTGTACACGTATATGGTGGCTCATTTCTCCGAAATGTTAGTGACGCGTTCCTCGAGCTGAACCACGGCTCCTTCTTGTAATTAGTGCAGCCACGAATCCATTGGATTTCGTGGTTGGGCCTGGAAGCCTCGTCGAGCAGCTTTCATCGTACGTTTTAATCAGCGTATAATTATATTAGAAGATGGTCGGGAGCTGCGGAATAGCAATTAAACGTCTTGTGAAAAATATCTGCGGTTTTTGTTTCAGATGCAGAGAGCGGTGCTACTGCTCTGTTGGCTGCCGCTCCTCAACCACTGCCACGCCGTAAATCCAGGTAATAGAAAGATACTTTTGCCTAGCTTTTATTAGAGCTGTTCTCTCGTTAACTTTTAAACCGTTCTATTGCCTCCTCTGCGATGTTCGCGTAATTTCGTGCCGTTTTGAAACGAGATATTGCTTCCTAAACAACTGGACGTGTTCCGCTTGATATTGAGAATCGTTGGTGACAACTAGACTGCAGGTGTTTTTTAGGCGTTTCCAAGAAACTTGAAACTACAAAAGTGCAGATAATACGAAAGAGTATATATAATATGCAAAGTATAATGTTTTTTAGAATGCTTGGTATTTTACAATACTTTATTTGCATCCGGTATACCCTGATACGTTTTTTCTTTCGAAATGAAGATTAAAATTCAACTGAACGGTCAAAGCGCCACACATGTGGATATTTTTGCACATGGCGTGGTGTACGTAGAAATACGTAGGATTTCAACGAATTAAACAGGCAACGGTTAAAACCAGCGTTTAAAATAAATTCGTTTATCTCATTTCCCAAGAGGATATATGAAAAACTTGTTTCACAATACGCTTGAATTGTTTAACTTATGCGCTTTGTACTTTCTACACAATTTCGTATCTAATTTATCGACCCACGTACAATTTTAATTAATAAATATACCAGTTATGAAATACAAAAAGACCAACCTTTGCCACCAATCTAAAACTGCTACCTCGCGTATAAACGATCTTTTATATTCCAACATTTTTCCCACGCCAATAAAACCCTTAACAATTTCATCCGACGCGCTGTCGTAAATTTCCATCCAACTTCCGAAATGGCTCCGCCGTCGAATCATTAAAGTTACAAACGACAAAATGTTTCCGCGTTTCACGGAATGTGCTCGCCCCGAATGCGAAGCTCGTCGGAATACATATCCGAAGAAAAATTAACGTCCATAAAGTCTTACGGAGCGTAGACACGATCGATTTAACGTATTATTTTCCGGGAACCGATAAAATCGATCGTCGTCCAGCTTCCGATTATCGCGCTAATGCTAGTCGCGTTCACGCGGCGCATCCATCTGAATCTTTTAACCCGCCACGGCCCTCGAATTTTTATATTCTAATCGTTATATTCCAATTTTTATATTCCTCGAATATCTATATCCGATACTTTTACTACCGACAAGCAGAGAGACATAAAATATTTTAAGTTCGAATAAAATTCATTCGTATCGATAAAACGATTCTTTCGTATTTTCTTGAAAATCAAGAAATGTTTGAACAGAAAGGGGCGATTCAGACGAAAATGACTTAAAGAACGCAGCTGGGTTAATATTTCCCGACGTAATCGGTCAAAGAAACGGAATATTGTTTTTACAGGAATTCCTCTTGGTTATGTAACATTATAATATATCTCTTTCGTAATTCCAATGCTATGCCATACATTTTTAATGCAATAAGATGCGCAACATGAAGTAGGAGGTTCTTACGCCCGTATAACTATTTACGATTTAAGAGCATACAGTGATGCGTAGAATGAAAATATTGTCTTTCACAGTGGCGCGCAGTAGTATAGGACAATGATCAAGCGGGCGAGGCAGCGCTCAGGTTGCATCTAGGGGCGTAATGCTCTAGAAATGAATAAGTATATACTTTCAACCCCATTAGCGTACAATTTTTTTTTTTTTTTTTACTTAACCGGTTAAAAATGCACGCTTTGTCTTCAGTGGAATTGCTTCTTGGCTGTATAATAATATATCTTTTCCCAACTCTAATAATACATCTTACGTTTTTAATACAATGAGAAGCAAAAAGGAAGAGATAGAAGGTACAAGAAAGCAAGCGTTTTTATAAATACGAAAACGTGATTGTATTTATTAATAGAAAAAGTGGTTAGTCAGCAGTGTTCGTGTCTCACACAGGCTTTTGCATTTTGGACAGTTAGCTGTGCTCGTGTCTCACCCTTAAGGGGTTAATGTATAGCCGGAAGTTAGGCGTTTGAACGTATCTAGGCAACATGCCGGACAAAAACACTGCTCGACCCAGGATCGTTAAGAATCGCCGCACGATGATGGTCGCCGGTTTTATTCGAAGTCACGAATCGCAAGGATACACGAGCTCAATTCGTTTATCTCTCTCTCCCTCCCCCTCTGCCGGTACGCGTATCGCGACGCTTATTTTATCATATCGGAAGCGTGTTACATGCTTTGGCTAGTCTCGTGATACAACTTCCGTTGGCGTTGAGAGGTTCACTTGTACTACTGATATCACTCGTGCTGATATCGCTTGAAGAATGGTGCGGGTGAACGCGTGGCATGTATGTACTTTGGTTTGATGCAGGATAGTTTATACGGTTTTGCAAATCAGATGACTCAGAGAAATATGTTTCTAGCTATTTCTGTAGTATTTATCAGGGGGATCATTGAGATGTTGCGATTGAAAAGGCTGCAACTTTTATCACTAGACAGAGGGTGTTTCATTCGTTGTAATTTACAATAAGGGTGTTTGATGGATCGTGAAATTTCTCATAAATGCATAGGTATTCGCTAGTCTATTTATTATAACGATGTTAGAAACATTAATTGAGAATAAAAGGACGATGGTATCCGAAGGTTTTAAAAATTAGATTGATAAATGGTATGTTTCGTGTATTTTCAAGAAATATTTAGACCAAATTTTGCTGAACGAGGAACGAAAGATTGCTAAATTACTCGTTTTTATTCGAAAATTGATAAAGATTACAATCCATAAATTAACAATTTTCAAATTATAGATATTTTATCGGACCCACTGAAGCACATAAATTAGAGTACGCGCAGAGATTTCAGTTAAAAATACAGATGAAAAATATTGATATATGATCGCTTGGAGATAAAGCGAAACATTTTGAATATCCGAAATCACTATGTGCATGCTTTGAAAATTGTAGTTATTAACCAGCTAATGACCTCCTGGGAACGGTAATAACTTGAATTATGCTTTCATTATTGTACTTCGTGGGAAGTAACTCATACTTTTGCACGTGAATTACTACCTATAATAAACTGTAATGATAATAAACTTTCTTTCGTTTGTAAAATAGATGAACACAAACAGATTTCCTGATAAAAGTAGCTTACTGATATGATTAGTATAAAATTTGCATGCCTACGTGGTAATTTAAAGTGCTAAAGGGAGTAATTCATGTTGCATATGTGATGATACTGGTATGCGTGGTGCCGCGTAGACAAGTTATGCTTTGGCCAGTATGGGCAACGCTATTCTCGCGTCGATTATTTTTGACAGAATGTAAATTAGTTATAAAATTACAAATAGAGAGATTCGGGATATTTTTTTTTTCATACATGATTTTCATGTCATACATAAGTATATATATTAAACTAGATTATGTAAATGGGTTATGAATGTTAAGTGTTGCTGTGCTATTTATCTCTTTTTAATTGTTAAATACGAGAATTAGATCATAGAGAAGCTTTCCAAAGCCAGAAGTTGCAAATAAATTAAATTATCTGTCAATCTATATAGTTGTAGTACATGTGCATCGGGTTTAAAAACTCTCAGTAAAATAAGATAGTCAAACGTTACTAGAGCATGCTGCATAGAACGCTATGTTATCCTTTGAATAGTATAAGCAACAAATGAAACTTTCGCGAAACTCGGTTTGGTTTTCAATCTAAAATGCAAAATTTGATGAAAATTCTTTGACCTAGGAGAGGAGATAAGATACTCTAACTAACTTAACTACTCGCATAATTAAAATTCTTTAACCTCGAAAGTAATTTTTTAACTTCATTTACAATTCATGTTTTAGTAAAGTACTTCCTTTAAGCGATCTTGTTTTCTCTGCTGGGCGAGAAACGTTCGTTTCATATTTTATAGCAAAATTTACTTTCGTCCAGAAGCTCGATCGCTTCGTGACTTCTTTTTCTATAAGCTGCAGTTCGATGTCTTGTTTCGAGGATAACTTATTGTCTCGACGTACTTTAACCTTATATCTCTTTAAATCTGAAGGCAAGTAGAAAATGTAATATTTGGTATCGTTAGATTGGTTAGCAATAAATTTAACATTAAATCTCTTTCGATTGTTTTCATATTTTCAACCATATATTTGGTAGCAAGATTTTAATCCCATAACACGTTGATTTATACCTTTATGCAAAAATTTGTAAATGAAGCGACTTAAGCATTGTGTTTGGAAGTTGGACAATGTAAATGTGCATATCCGCATTTGATTACTGTTCATTTTATTTATACAATACCGTTTTTGAACAAAAAGAACAGACTATTGGAATATGTAAAAACTCTGTGACCTCAAAGGCATATTGCTTTTCCAATATTTTAATAATAATATCTCGATATTTCAGTAACATTGTGTAACGTAGGGGCATTCCAATTCGTGTCATTATACATACTTCCTTTGTGTATATTACAGCAAAATTTTAATAATTTTTGGAACATTACATTTCTGTGCTTGCAATTGATATTCGTTTTGCTGCAATTCATAATTTTTACTAATATCTCCGAAATTACACTCTTAATTATATCTCTATATTATATTTATTATGATAACACTTTTGCCCCCATTTACGCAAAACGAATCGAAATTTTTACTCTCTGACGATATCGCTTATCAATGGAAATATTCATGGTAATATGAAATCACAGGCAAAAAGTGGCGCATTTCATTTCGCTTTTCCGTTAATGATATTCGCGAGATTATTCGTAAATTACTAGACTATCTGCGTATCTTAATTAGCCCTGGTATAATTGCTTCACGCAGTCGTGCTGTAGGCTTCGTCTAAATTAACGTTATGCTAAATACTGTCGCGCTTAAACGGTGTATGCCCGGCCACCATTATTTTTGCAATTTCATTGGTAATTTATCCGACGTTTCTCACTATAATTACAATGAACCGTGCGCTTGATAAACTCATTAGCGATGAGAAAAGCGTTTCAAACAAATTATTGTTCCTTTATAAAGACAGCAAATAAAAAGCTACAGACGGAGGAACGGAAGTTAATCGAAAATTGTTTTCTACGTAATTACTCATG